ATTCTCTACCCTGTAGTCGCTGAACTGACCAGGACTCTCCTTCCACAGAGGAGGATACAGATCTGAGAGGCCGGAAGCTCCTGCTAAAGAAGCAGAAGTGCAGCCAACCAGGACCCAGGCCCAGGAAGGAGGCCAAGCCATGGTGCCAGGGCTGGGACTGAGACTGGGGCAGGGCTTTTATTAGAGTGGAGGAGGAAGTCAGGGGATTGTCTTACAGCCTGCCCTATCACCACTTTGCTTTCTTTCCTCTACGAGGGTTTGTGATATCATGCAAGGGCATACAAAAAGTGCACATGACTTCATCATAATACAAATTCAGCTTCAAGAAAGAGCTTTGATCTGTACCCAAATAACACCATCCAGTAGACAAAACCAGTTTGTTGGAGAAGAAAAGGTAATTCATTCCCAATATCTATTTTTTAAGTAAAAGAATCTTAGAATTATAGCTAAGATCATAGCTTCCCCAAGTTAATGCTCCACTTGCAGTGTCCCTTGCATCAGTAAACATGTAACTAAGTGCTGATCTCTGGTAAATCACGGATATGATGTCCACAACATACAGTCCTCAGTTGCTATCGGTAGTAACCCTACAGTGCACTACCACACCAGTGCTTCTCAGCCGCGTCCAACTGGGATTTGATCCCTGCTGACCAACATTTTCCCATCTCTCCATCCCTAGTATAGTCTTTTAAATCACTATTCCTACTCTTAACTTCTATGAAACCCATTTTTTAAGGCTCCACATAGGAGTGTGTCCATGAAGTACTTTCTGTGCCCTTCTCACCACACTTAACATGATGATCTCCAGTTCCATCCATGTCTTCTAACATGACAAGATTTTCTGTTTTATGGCAGTATGTGAATTGCATTCTGTAGGTATACCACATTTTTTCCTGTTTTCATCAGTTGCTGGACACTTAGGTTGTTTTCCTTTGGGGGCTATTATGTGTAGTACTATAATAAACATGGGAGTACAGAATTTTCCTTAGGATGCATACCCAGGAGTGGGATTGGTGGGTAATATGGTAGCTCTATTTTTAATTATTTGAGGAATATCCATACTTTTTTCCATAATGACTTGGCTAATTCTCATTCCCACCACCAGCAGTGTGCATGGTTCGCTTTTATTCTCATCTTTGCCAGCACGTGTTGTCTTTTGTCTTTTTGATAACAGATATTCTTAGTTGGATGAGGTGCTATCTCATTCTCCTTTTGATTTGCATTTCACTGATGATTGGTGATGTTGAGCATTTTCTCATGTATCTGGTGGCTGTTTGTGTAACTTCTTTTGAGAAATATGTATTCATATATTATGCCCATTCATAATTGGGTTGTTTGTTGTGTTTTGTTTTGATTTGGTTTTTGACTGGGGGGTCATTGTCGATTTTGGGGAGTTCATTATATATTCTGGATGTTAACCCCATGTCTGACATGTAGTTTATAAATATTGTCTCCCATTCTGTAGATTTTCTTTTCATTCTAATGATTCTTTTAAATCTCATTTGCCTGTTTTTACTTTTGTTTCTCATGTTTTGGGATTCTTGTCCAGAAAAAAATCCTTACCCATCTGCAAGTGTGAAACATGTTGCCCGTTAATTCTTCCAATGGTTTTATAAGAGAGGCTCAAGGCTGCTTTTTGCTAAAAGCACATACTTCTCACTGGGTTCTTCACATGTCCAGCAGGTGAGGATAAACAGCATCACAGTTTGGCATCTCTGTCGTCATACGTCATCTCTGCTCTTGCTACCTTTAACTTTGGGGTCACACTTCTGCTCAACTCTGAATGTATGTGCTTGTCATCTAAGGAATGTTTGTATTTACACTAAATTTGCATCCTCTCTCTGAAGTCACCAAGGATAACTAAGATATTTTCAAGATTTACTGGGCCATCATAATCAACATATTTTCGGCCTGCACTTTTTACAATTTCCTGTGTTTTTATGCCACTACCATGCTATTTTAGTCACTACAGTTTTATAGTGTACTTTGTTATCAGGTAGTGTAATACCTCCGGAGTTTTTTGTTTGCTTGTTTGTTTGGTTTTTTTGTTTTTGCCTCGGATATTCAGAGTCTTTTTTGCTTACCCATGAATTTTTCCTAGTTCTGGGGTAGGATAAAAGAAATTATGACAAGTAGAAAAGAGACAAGGAAAATCATAATCTTAAAATTGTACTTTCAAGAAAACTGCAGCTTCAGGACACAAACAAAGTTATCCAAGGTTATCCATATCTGTACTCCCCATCTTTACTTCTTAGATTTGTTTGTTCTCCCTTGGCTGGTTTATGCTCTGTAGCCTCTTCTGTTTCTGTCTTCCAAACAAACCAATCACACCCAAAATCCCTAAAGATGTTGTAAGTCTGCAAATTAATGTGGTGGATAAGGTCAGGACAACAAACTGACCTTAAGGTGAAGAAACAAATTCAAAAAGTTCAAAGAATGTTTGTAGGCAAACTATCTCAGACTACTCATTTTTAAAAATACCTTCAGGGAAACATATATGTTCCCAAACCTACCATCTCTCTCAAGGGTGCACACTATTTTCTCTGAGTATGTGCTTCTCTAACTCTGCATAATTAAGTATGTCTGTACCTCTAACTAATGCTTCCTGAAATTTTTTTTCTGTGCCAAGGGTCAAGCACCAACTTTGTGAGCCAAGATGAGGTCCCCATATCTTCCCCGGAAGAACTCCTTGAATCACATTCACTGTCAGTTTTTAACAGAATTTTTAGAAGTAAAACAGCTGAGACAAAAGTTTATCTAAAAATACAAATAATTAAGGAAAGTTAAAAATCAACTAGTGATGAATAATAATGATGAAAGCAAACTTTCTCTAACATACATTCAAACTTTCTATAAATCCTCAAAAAATAAAATAATATATTGTGGTCATTGATCTAATAGTGTGACCAGATACAGAAAGATAAAGAACTATTCAAGAAATTAAAGACTATTAAAGAAATATTTTCTAAGACACCCAAACACAAATGACAATTTAATGAGGAAGTGTAATAGGACTAAATGTAGATATTGTTTATATATCCACAGTGAGATAGTTATTGGAATTCACATATACAATGGAAAAAGTAATTATACCCTTCATGTAAACATATCCGTTAAAGATATTAAAATATCATAATGTTAACAGAATAATCTGGATTTTCTACTTCAAAGACTGAGGAAGTGAATTACAAAAGTAACAACGCTAAAGTAAATGTCAAACTTATGGGATAGGCTTCTAATTATATAACCCAGTGTTGATTCAACTTTTCTCAAAAGAGCAGTTGTAAAAGTTAGCAGAAAAGCCTTCCTGGAATAAAGATTATATTGACTATTCTCACAGCTAAAAACAGCTGTACAATGAAGTTCTGGCCAAATCATTAGATTGAGGCACTAGAGAAACTTCCTTTGAAAACAACTTTTCCTTTATTCTCCCTCTGCTGCCCAGAACAGAAGTGTAACTGCATTCTGATGCTGTCCTGGATAGTGAGAAAGCACGAAGGATAGGGAGTTAAAATAGAGGATTCTGAGTCCATGATATTCATGGATCTCTAGATTCTCTCCTGGGACTTTTCAGTTCTTCTATTCATAAGAAAAATACCTGTGACTTAAAAAAATATTTTTTTCAGTGAGATTTGCTACTATTTGGAGAATCTACTTGAACAGACATTCCAATTGTGCTTTTTAACATTTCAGTCTCATTTCCCATAGCGTATTGTTGAAATAAGTATGTGAGTAGAAAATTTATACTAGATATTTCATAGAAAATATATATGGAAAGCTCATACATACAAATAATTAATGAAAGTACAAAACAGCAATATGAAATGAATGCTAACATCCTAATTTATAAATAAGAAAACTGAGGCTTACCAGGTTTGAGAGACTGACTCAACATCATAAAATGGTGATTATTGATTTTGTTCCCAGGTCTGCCTGATGTTAAAGTCTGGGCTCTTATCAGTTGTGCTATATTGTACCGCAAAATATACTATGAGGAAATTTGAACTTATTTAAAATTAGAAATTGTGTTTTTAAATCACAGCATTTTATTTATCTCAAAACATTTCATTCATTTGCTTAGAATACTGGTTGAAAATATATAAATTCAGATGGTCATGATGGCATGGAAACTGCCATGAAATTAAAATCACAAGGTCTTTATTTTATTTTTTTTGGTACCGGGGATCAAACTTGGGTCCTTGCCCTTGTGAGGTAGGCAGCAGAAACACTGAGCTAAATCCCCAGCCCCAATAAGGTCTGCAATTTTATCTTAACCTTCTTTCTAGCAGTGTGAACCCAAGGACTCCCTAAAGTTGTTTCTCTAGAGTAACAAAACAATTCTTTCCTCTTACACAGAATAATTAGGAAACTTAAAGGAGAATATGTAGTCAAATTAAGTGAAAAAATAAACCAAGTCAAAGGTTTTAAAAATTCCTTTAAATAAAGCAACCTCTTTTCGAGATTTCATATACTTCTATATTATTTTAAGTATATTCCTTGATTTATAAATGATTTAATTATGTTTGAATAACCTCAGTGCAGTTGTCCTTTTCTTTCCCACCATCAAGAGTAGAAAAGTTTAACTACAGAAATGGTGAGCAGAGTAAAAGACATGATTAGAGGCTCTAGAACAGAAACAGATTAAAAAAAAAAAAAAATGTGCTCAGAACCATGCTGGAAGCCACGAATGCACAGCATAAGAAAGAAATGGAATCCATGAAACAGATTCAAACAGATGTGCAGGAGATTAAAAACTCCATTGAAAATGTTCACAGCAGATTGAGTGAATGTGAAGATACAATATCAGATATGGAAGACAGGATTGCAGTTAGTGACCATGAAAATACAGATTTCTTAAAAATAGTAAGGGGCAGCTTAGCCGCGTGGGCTGAGAGGTCCCTGGCCATCTGGAGCCCCGCTCCATCTGGCTCGCCATGCCCACCTGCAACCAGCAAGTTGGTAAGGACCCCTTGACATGCCCACTGGTGAGCAGCTTAGTTGTTTGGGCACCTGCAACCCGCCCCCCCCACTGCGCCTCTGGCCTCCTGGCTGTGCCACTACCTGGTTCCACATTACAGAGGCAGAGCGGGGCATAAAGGCCATTGTCCTGAGCTGCAGAAGTGAACAACAGAGAGAGGGCTCTCTCAGGCTCCTTGATGAAAACTGAACCCCACTGGAAAAGTGAAGAGAATCTCTGCAATAAAGGCACACCAGACCACTGTACTTGGTAAGTTGGAGGGATCATCACCTCCAATCAGAACCTGGACTATCTTCAGGAGAAGGGCAACTAGAACTTTCAGTAGAATCTTGCAGAGTTCAATGCTACAGGAAGACAGGGAGCTCAGCTTGGGACTTTCAGCCAGAAATATGCCTGAATTTCACGGGTCTGTGACTGGCTTGCTGAGACTCATTGACTTATATCTGCATGCTGCTGCCCACATTGTCTATTGTGACAGCAGAGACATACCCTGAAGGAGGCCCTTCATTTTTATCTTTTATTCGTTATTTTCAAAATTATTAGTAGTATTTTTTGCTCTTATTTTTATTTTTTTCTACTCTTTTCAAATTTTTATTTTTCTCTTCTTTCTTTTTCTCTTCTCTCTCTCTCT